AGACTGGGAGTGGCTACTGGTGGATAGATGACATGAAGAGATGGACACTTTGCTCTCTGTGCATGTGGGTTAAAGGTCCTACAGTATGAGGGAGACAGAGAGACTGCTGACCCATTGGTTTCTCACCTCTCATTAGAGGCTAAGCACAGAATATTTGTGACATTTGAAGGTGGCCAGCTCAGCCACAGTGGCAACCTACTCTTGACTTTGGCCCCGGGGCCTCGGCGTTGCGACAGTCTCGCTCTTTAGCATGACAATAAGGGAGGGGGGGTGACACTGCATAGACGCATCCTGATTGAGAGGGATGCTGTCATGCTGTGAATGGGCGAGTGGGTGGAGAGGGGGGATCAGGAGATCTACAGAGACTTCCTGCCTCCCTGTCATCACAGTAAAAACCTGAGAGAGATCGCCGTTAGAAAAACCAGCAAACCGGTCAAGCTGATCGCTTTGCAACGCGGGATGTAAAATACCAACCGCGCTGATTTACAATTGTCATCTAGCTTAAGGGGATGAGAATAATGGTTTTAGACCTGCCCAGTTCCCACAGATGAGGGATCCTGATTAGAGGGCACAGAATGCGTAAAACACAGTAGGTCCGGGAGGTTAATGATTTAATTTTGCAATAATGTCAGTAATTATACGAGGGGAGAACCAAATGGAATTCCTGTCATTTGTTTTTTTTACCATTTCTAAACCACACCCAAGACAAACACAAATGATTTTTTTTGTGGTTTGAACAAATGAGGATACAAACAGTCGCATTTCTGCACACACACACCCTTAATCTGCCATTTTGCACGGGTTTGTTTTTTTGTATTCTGAGGCACTGTCAGACTCTCATGTTAGATGAAATAAGAGCCGATTACACAAGTTGCGCTTTCAAAAGGTTACAGTACATGCTTTCTGGAAAATAGGTTATGAATAGAGAGAATTTATAAAGCTGACAACAACGCCGCTTTGATGTGTCTATCAAGGCTCGGTTCACTTTGTATGTGGATGTGATTGATTTGCTGGGTAAATATCCGAGTCCCAAATGACTACATGGCCCTCACTCCCGCTCCTTATTGTCTCGCTCACCGCTCAATCAGTATGTTACAGTATAAATAACTTAAAATCAAAAAGCAACAGGCCAAAGGGTGCATCCCCTCATCACCTCTTTGATGAAGCTCATGAAGCGGCCTCCGAATCTCCAGGGTTTGTGGCGGTGGCACTGCAGCGAGTTTACCGTCATCTGCGGAGCGTGCTGGTAGGAAACGGACACAATGTGGACCGCGTCATAGGTCAGAGCTGCATCTGTCTGGAATAAGGGGTGAACATTATTTTAGCTGCTGACTCGGGAAAGAAGTAGTTGTGACATCATTGTTGTTTACACTGAGATGTGAAGTCAGAAATCGGTTTAAATTATACATGGCTCAGGACCATAGACTGTATAAAAGATGGACGTAGCAACCGGCCCTGAAAAATGAAGCTAACCTGGAAGTGTCAAAAACCTGCAATATCACTACGTCCACTAGTTGCTGGCTCCAAAAAGCCCTGGCTCCCATAGAAATGAATTGGAAAAGAAGTGATCTCAGATAACAAAATACCGCATTCCTACGGCTCAGGATTTTTTTCTTATTAGTTTTCATGGTCAAGTCCAGAGATCAGGTGGCCAATCTGAAAATAAATCTATACTGAATTTTTTAAAAAATCCTCAAAATTTTGTAGGGCAAGGGGCGTGGCTGGCTTGATTGACAGTCGGCAGCGACCATACACATGAAACGAGCAGAAGGCGGTAAATGTGGGCGGGCAGAGAGGGCCCGCCTCTCAATCCGTCTGACCAATCGCTGCTCCTATGGCTCCGCCCACCTCCGACGATTTTTGGTTCTAAAAATCCAAGATGTCAACCAGGAAGTAGTAAAACCCTGGCTTCATTTTCTCAGTGCAGAAACCAACGGGTGACATCACGGTAGCTACGTCCATCTTTTATACAGTCTATGCTCAGGAGCACCTTGTGTTATTTTTGATTATTAATCCAATTTATAACCTTGTTCAGTCTTGTTGACACGTCTAACTAGATAAGTACAGTAAAGATAAATATAGTTACTGTAGATTTTCTGGTTGTGCATTCATGCTGTGAACATCTCGCTCTCTCCCAAAGGAGCTGTACTGAGTTGATATCTGGACTGTGTGGGCTATTTGAGAAAGCTGCTATTATTTTCCTGGAAATACACTGAGACAATGGTGCATGAAGCCATTTACAAAAACCTAACATATCTGAACAAGGATCGGCCATGAAGGAATGCACTTGAACAGGAAACGTGGAAGAGGGCTTCAGAGCATTCAGAGGATATTTGTTGCAAGAGGGCTTAATGAATGATCTTCACAACATTATATCGCTCATGTCTGCACCTTTGAAAGCATTATTCATCACTTTGTGCTATTCCGATCCTGCTGTCAGCATGCCAGAACAGAAGGAAGATTTTTATTTATTTTTTTTCTACAAGGCAGTATTTTTTTCAGTCACTCAGGTTCGGGGATCTCAGCTCACTGTATCTTCAGCTACTCAATTGAATGATGAACGATAATTATAATAACAATTTTGAAAAAAAAAAAAGGTTTGCCAGGGTGTCCTTTGTGAGATCTCATCTATATCTGAATGATTTACTGAACTGTTATTCACACATCTCAAGGATATTTTCTTGGGATGCACGATATATATCGGCGACCACATCGGTGTCGGCCGATATTATTGTGGTTTCCGATATATCGGTATCGATCCAATCAACAAATTTAGCCGATTATTGTCTAACATTAGTGCCTACGTCTCTACATTGCTGCTATTTCACAGATGTTTGTACTTAAATGGTCCTCGATTTGACTGTTAAATATGTTTAGATATGTTTAAATATGTTTTGCTTTTGTTCCGTAATAAAGAAGACTATATGGTCTAATGTGGGCTTCTGTTGAATAGTTTTCTCACAGTGCTTACTTATATTCATTTTTCAGTGTGAACAAAAATTGAATATCGACATCGGTAATATCGGTTATCGGCGATATCAGAAATCTTAATATCGGATATCGGTATCGGCCAGAAATTTTAATATCGTGCATCGCTAATATTTTTTTCAATGAGAAAACCGTGTACAAAACCCCTGGACTATTTATTATTTATTTATCTATTTTAAATATAAGGTACCTGTGGTCATACCACTTTTAAAATAATGACAAATCATCTTCCACACTCAACATTTAATCTGTAGCTCAACCCCTGAAATCTGCCAACAAGCTTTCATATTTATGTTTTATTCATGATTGACCCTCAGCCTGAGCGAATGAGCTGTTTGTGTGGAGATGTACCTAATAAAGAGGGTTTAATGTAGTCGCCATTGCTGAGGTAAAACGATTTATTACTGTCCCAGTTAGGGTTAAAAACCTTTCCTAGCCAGATCAAAAGCCACACTAGATTGATGGACGAGATAGAACGATGTATGGACGCTTTCTGTTTACGTCGGCATTTGAAGATCGACTCCAGATGCAGCAAGGAGTAATAAACCATACCGTCATGATTCCCTCCAGCAGGCCGGAGTCAGGCTTAGGTGGTATCTGCCTTTCCATCGACCATTTCTCCACAATAGATGCAACCTGAGGATTGTCCACGTTGAGGATGCGGAAGCCGGTCATGTTTACGCCGCAGAAGCGATACGGCTCCAAGTCGATGGCCATCAGGTCCTTTGGAGAGACAGGAGTAATGAAAGATGGATTGTTATTTAGTGTGGTAGTGGTGTTGGATCATTTCTCCTGATGTAAAGAGAAAGACAGTTGATTAATGAGATGAGTATATTAAAGGATGGAGAAATACTTTTCAACGTTGGATCAGGAGATTTAAGTAGTAGCCGTGTCTGTGTTATAAATGAATTGTAAAAAGGCTCTGGTGGCGTAGTCACCGCTGGCAAATCCTTTTAGAATTGACAAATTGTTATTGTTTTTGTACCTACATAATAATGAAATACACCACACAAGGTACAAGCTTGTGATACACTTCTGCTTTTCTCAATCACAATTGTGGAAAAAGAAAATCACTATTGTTTCATTTGAGAAGATTCCTATTCATGTTCATAGCCTCACAAAAATTAAAGAGCAGGAGAGAAACACACCAATTCTGTTGGATCGTATTAATAATTCAACGCTCGCATTCCCTTGGCAACTCCTAAGCAGAAAGCAATTCAATTTGAGCCACTGTAATTTCTGGGGCAGCCATTGTAGCTGAAGTGTGAAGTCACATGTTGACACATGTCGTGTCGGAATGGGCCAGGGGGCTTGGAAAAGACATTTGGATGAACATAGATATTTCATTAGCACCCTGTGGGGTTAGTGCTGGGGGAACGAGAGCGTGTAAGACACTTACTAAAGAACGGTCGTCGCAAGTCACTGAAATATCTCTCCTCCTTATTTTTTTTTTTTGTGTGTCGTTCCCACCAGGATGCAGTACAGTGCTTTTCTTTTACACAGAGAAATCAAAGTAAATCGCTGTTGTTCTATATGACACTCAGCAACGCTTAGTAAAATAGATCAGGTTACAGGTTTCTCAGCTTTTGAAGCTCGGAAGACAAACTAACTGGGACAGAATTGTTTGTTTAATACAATTCATCTTTTGTGACATCCTCATTTCTGTTCAGGCGTTTTTGGGGTGTCAGAAAAAGCAGCTTGTTCCAATTACAAGTTCACTTTTTTTTTAGCACCGCCGCCTTGTACACACACGTGTAACACAAACCCAACAGTACACTGAAACCCAGAGAAGGCGCAGCAGTATCTCTGAGTGCGTACAGTAATGTAAAGTTCTTAGCTTTCTCAGAGAGGGTTACGACGAGTCGGGGAGCTATGACAGGCTAATTTCAAAGGACAAGGAAGTTATTACCCCACACCACTCCGCTGTTGCCTTTTCACGCTCTAATAAGTCGGCATTTCCCCCTCACCTCCGAAGATAAAACGCAGACATCAGTGGATTCCATCGAGAGGAAATTGTGTTGCCATGTATACCTTGCAAGTATTCATCATTCTGGATCAAATCAAGCCAGCAGGTATAATCTTCTTAATGGTGTGTCTGTCAATATGACAGCATAATGCAGCTTCAGATAGATTCTATAAAGATACACTCAAAAAATATCGTCGTGGCAGAAAATCGCATCAAATAAAAGTTTTTCAAGTTAATCCTCCTTGCCGTGCGAACAGTAGGGAGGGGGGACGGCTGCACTTAAACCAGGGCGCACCAGCGATAACTAGGAGTTTTAGATTCTCCCTATTAAAGCAATAAACATGCTCCGCAAACATGACGCGTGGCAGAGCAATGTCGTTGGCGCGCCGCGGAGCGTGAAAGATGACACACATCATGCCTGGACCTCGATGTCATATCGCATTATCGCAGCAGACGGGCCAAGTCTGGAGAGACGGCGAGTGTGAGCGCACAAGAGAGGCAGAAACAGAGACAATAACAGAGAGTGAAAGGAACAGCACACAACATGCTGGTATTCATTCCCATTCAGTCTGTTTGTCACCAGATAGCCGGGGTCGCGGCGCAGAGCAGCGGCGGCTCCCCTGCTGGGTCCGCTCGTGTTAGTCAGACGAGATTTTTTTTATCAGAGCTTAAGATGCTCGAGATGGGAAGTGAGCAGTTACACACCTATAGGTTAAACATGTGCGATACTGGGGGGGAAGAAAACAACAAGTTAAAGTGTAAATATTGGCTATGTGGTCAACCGTAATTGTTTTTGTCAGTGTCAATATTTTGGCACGGAGCTACTCCAAATGTGACACTGGCTCAGTTAGTAAATCTAGCGCTTTATTATTATTGTTATTATTATTATTCGTTCATTAAATGTTGCCTGTGAACATAATCCAGTCAAGTGATTATATTCTCAACACAATGGAGTCGGGAAAACAATTTGGGAAGACGGCATATGAATGAAATTGCTGTGAGTCAGACAAATGAGCTCCAGAACAGTTTGGCTTCTGTCGAGCCATCACTGGTTTTGGTCTCGGTGGGATTTTGTTGACACCATGTGACTTCTTCACTATACAGTCTACAGCAGGGGTGTCCAATCCTGGTCCTCGAGAGCCCCTATCCAGCATGTTTTTAGATGTTTCCCTCGTCCAACATACCTGATTCAAATGATCATCAAGCTCTGCAGAAGCCTGATAACTGTTAGACCCGATTCTTTAGTTGGAAGCCCAAGAACAAGTCGGAGAAATCTTCAGATGCAGAATGTATTTAGGTCACAGGTAAAGTTTTGCAGCGCTGGAATACAGAGGGACAGAGAGGAATCTCATGTCCAGCTGAACTGAGTGTTTTCGGTTCCAGGTTACAGATATCTTCTTGGGCTGGGCCTGCCCCGAACATAGATAAGATTTAATTGGCCAGTTACCAATGGCGTGGACAGGCATCCTTCTACGCTCTGTCCACATCCTTGGATGTTGTTGGTACGGCGTGTAACTAAAGTAACAATCGTATCTAATCGAAAAGAGGAGTTTGTGCTGTCTCCAAGTGTGTGAACCGGTTCTCACCAGCCATATTATCTTCAAGGACGTATGCTGTTCTCAGTAGGAAAATACGAAACAGAATCATAGGCTCAGTGCAAAATACAGATTCAGAAAAGCTCGAAACATACTTAATTCTAACATAACGATCCTGATCATGTGAATCAGGTGTGTTGGAAGAGGGAAACATCTAATAGGGGCTCTCGAGGACCAGGATTGGGCACCCCTGATCTACAGGTACAGGCTAAAGACGGAAAGTCATCGTCGTTTCTCACTTCCTTCCAAAAAAATTCATCTTTAACTCACGTTGACTTAATCAACCCTGATTAGCATCTAAAATCAATAATTCATTCGTGGCTGATTGTGGCTGTTGCTGATTGAGCGATATCAGGATATTTTAATGCTGCTCGTGGGGTGCTTGAATTTTGCTCAAATTTTCATCATTTCAGTTTATATATTAAAATTGTATTTATTCATATTATTGAATAATAATATGAATAATCCCGGAACAGCTCGCAGAGGACAATTTTCAGTTTACTTTTCTCACTCGGAAGTCACTTTCAGTTTTGAATCTCAATCTGTTGTTTTTTTTATTTATTTATTTTTTTCCTCCCTCAAAGGCTTCTGTTGATTTTGACTATAAAGCAGAGTGTTTACTACAGCAAACCGAGGGCTACATTATGCCTCTGGCTTGTCAAACAAAATTGATGCTATGGACTGGATCCAAACTCCATTGGCAATTAGCCACTATTCATCAAAAACTCAAGTGGTGGGGAGATGAGAACAAACGAGACTCTATTTGCATTAACAAGCATGCTACATTACCAGAGTGGTGAAGATATAGTGGTAATACTCTGTCATCATCCCCATGGTCTGGGCCTGGAAGGATACGGAGACAGAAGATGGAGAAAGAAAGGTGTGAACAAAAAGAGACAGCGTAGATTTTTTTTTTTCTTATGAAATCAGAGCATTTTCGAATCAACGGCGCCGCACAAAGACTTGTATCTATAAATGAGAAAACACCAAGGTTTTAATGAGCGTATTGACTAACACGCTGTTCATTTCGCGGGTAAGGTTCTGCTATCGCTCGCTCGGATTTCTGCGCCATATGTGGTCCACAGAATGGCAACTGTACTCCATGCTTTTTCTATGCATTTAAATGGTTTGGAATGGCTCGGGGCATGTGACGTTATCCAGGCAGAGAAGAGAGCCTTCAATCAAAAAGAGCTTGGTAATCTTTGCCTCATATCCAAACACTCCATCACTGCCACTTGTTTCTCTCCATCTACATTCAAAGGCAACCACGTTCCCATGGCGGCTGTGCTTTCCATTTAATTGTACCATCTGTTGTGAAAAAAAAAAAAAAGAGCCAAGGTTATGTAAATAAGATGTTAAGCTTACGTGGAGGCAAATTCACTTCTGCGTCTATAGACAAAGCCAAACACATGACATTGAAACTTTGTTTCATGTTTTATATTACAAGCAGGAGTTTTCATTAATAAATTAGATTTTTTTTTTTTTTTCCCCATTGCTGCGTGATGAATTTTCAGTATGATAAACCTTAATTTTGGTAGCTTTTCTAGTCTTTACCAGCCTCTTTTTTTTTTATTGGTAAACCTCTGAATGTCCCTGGTTCCATCAATAGCAGGGTCGTATTTTGAAATTAATAACAGGAACACATGACAAAGAAGGACATGTTTAAAATAAATAAATAAACAGAAAGAATCTCGTAGACATGCTTCACATTTTCTCCCGTCCAACGCGGGATGGAATATATCTTGGCAGAGGCACCTTGAGTGCAAGTGAGCTTGTCAGAGCAAAGACAGGACCGAACGTATCGCCGAGAATCACGACAATGGAGAGATTCCAAGGGCAGCGGTGATGTTCAGACCCTTTTAAAATTCAGTCAGATCCATACTGGAGGGAGGACGATCAAAAGCATTTCTCATTACATATGAATTCTGTGCTTTTGCTGATTGTCTTAGTGTGAAGCAACCTTTTAGTGCAAATGGAGCATTCAGTGTTAAGATACTGTAGCTCTGCTGAAAATAAATACTGTGAAGGCCACCTTCTAATCAAAGCACGCTTGGTAACCCATTTCAAATGTTGCCTTCAGTGTTAGACTTGACTGTTTTTATTTGAGTACTTTGGGTGCATGGTGATGCGTTCGCTTGCACTGTTGCCCTGCTGGTCAGCTGGATCTTGTATGGAGTGTGTGTGTGTGCTTGCGTTATCAGAGCTGAAATGAACACGTTAATCATCCACATATGACTGATGGGAAATTATAATCAGGATTAATCTAATCAAGTAATTATTTCGGTGATTTTTTTGGTGCAATAATGCCCCAAATTCTGTTGTCTGATATTTTACAGACGGAGCATTAACTGCAGACTTATCGATAATGAATGTAATCCTTTGTCGCTGCTGTAATCTATATAACTGTGATGGACAGGCAATATGGCCCCATTGCGTCTTAATACATTTTTAATAATGTAAATCCTCACAACCAGATTGCATCTAGAAGCAACAAAGCACAACGCTTGTCTGCAGCACAAGCACTCACAGATGCACATTTCTGTCTCTCTTTTAAATGACCAACGGTGCACAAGATTCACTTCTTCTTCTTCTCCCTCTTATTTATATATGAAAGCGTCGGTCGGTTCAGTCATGGAAGAGAACTGTCTGGAGCCTTTTTTTTGCCTCAAAGCCCTTTCTCACCACTTGTCAAGAACACACTGATTTCTTAACGCAAGATGTGCAGAATGGCCACGAGCGGATATATGTCACCTTAAATCTCAATAACTAGAGAGGACTGAGTTATTTGAATAACTTTGGAGGAGATGATGCATTTGGTAAACATGTTAACAGAAGCTGACAGCAAACTGAATGCAGGGGGCGGGAGGGGGGGGATCCACCAGCATGTTCCTGACATCTATGGAGCATCAGACCACCTACACATTCTCTGCTCTGATCACCGCACTGACAGCTCTTTGTGGACTGACAGTCATTTATATCAAAACACACGTGTGTATATATAGTTTCAATAATGAAACGTGCTGGATCTTATTCTCGCGTTGGTAGTTGGATAGTAGCTAACAGACTCAGAATGAGTAAATAGCTTTTTAAAAGAAAAACAGCATGGGAGTGGAATTAATTTTTTATTATCTTTTTAAATATTCAACTGGCAAAACCCAACAAACACAATGACGATCGCTGCTTATGATTACAAACTAAACCCTCCAATATATTCTCAACAAGTATATGATTTATGTCTTGAAATCTAATGCCGGACACCAGTTGTTTGACTTTGAAGATGCTCTGTAGCATCAATCGTAACAGATTCAACTGGTTTCAGGGAAAGCAGAGTGGAACAGGAGCTTTCATTTAAACATCTGACAATACAAGCAGCTACAGCAGCCTCACACTAACCTGTTTCAGAATCTGTGCAGCCATGTGGTGACTGCAGTCAAAGATGATGCGGAACTCCCGACTTCTCTTCATTTCTTTGAGAAGGGGTCTCGTGTCCTGCGTGTCAAGAGGAAGCTGACGGATCTTTAGTCGGATGTTGTACCTGGACGGGGCCATGATCAGCTCCTGTAGTCTTATAAGACCTTAAAAGACAAGAAACAGCACACAACTGAAGCCACGGCTTTCTCTTGATTTCTTCACTGGAAATAGAAGTGGGTTTACCTGTGCTATCATCATATACAACAGTGGCTGTTTTCCATTTGAGAAACTGCACCAGGTCCAGGATGGCGTAGCTTAATGACGAGTAATCCGGGTATAAATTGGCATAAAAGGTGTCCCTGTTGTCCATGGGGTGATGTTTCCACCGCACCTGGATGTGCGGCACTTCCAGTGCATTGCAGATGGACTGCACAGCGTTTGACGATGAGCTATGTGAGGGCCCAAATATTGCAACCACACCTAAAGACAGCTGGTCACAAGCTAGAGAGGAGGAAGAGAACACAGCTTGAGAAGAAAGTAACCCGCATTGTGCTGTAGTGCAGCCCCAGGCTCTACAAAATGAAGTTCCTCTACAACCAAACTGCATTCTCAGCTATGCTTTGACGGGAACAGTTTTTCTACTGGATCACATTTGTTTTTAATGTAACACAGATACGTTTCTAGTCAACGTATTTATTTTGTTCTTGACCAATTATATCAGAATCAGAATCAGAAACAGGTTTATTCCCAGGCATAGATGTATAATAAAGGCTAGATGTCTTAAGGCAGCGTTTCGAATCACCGGCGGCCATCTTGCCACGGGGAAGCTCTCTGGTGGAATCTGTGGTACATAAAGGAAGGGGAGCGATCTGCACAAACGTAAATACTCTTATCTCGCTGAAATCTTGACGGATTTCTAAACAGTTTGGTTTCTTACAAACGTTATTAACGTGACTACAATTCAAATTCCAAAAATACAAATAAAATATAAAATAATTAAAATACAAATTGTTGCTGGCCGTGAGAGTGTAACATAATTATCCATAAGTAGAGTGTTATAACTACACCTCTGACGTTTAGAACAAACCAAGCCGTCTGAAAATGGCTAAAAAATTGAGCAAGTTATGGTTATTTAAAAGTACATGCACCACTACAACACAATGTTATGGGTGAGCGAGCAGACCGTACCAAGATGGCCGCCAGTGTGGCCGTGCGATTCCATTGGCCGGCAGCGTGGACGAGACATCTAGCCTTTATTATACATATCTATGTACAGATGCCCCATATGTTAGATGGAGTAGAACTCATCACCTTGGTAACCCAGAAAATGCAGGAAAAGCTTTACATATATGGTGAAAGGGTTGTCTTGTATGTTGTATTTTAACCCAAACCATGAACCCTAAGTCATTTTGGTGCCTACATGTAACCAAGCTTCTAACATGACTAAAATGGGGCAAACCCCCCAAACCTAACCATTAAGCAAGTGATAACCAAAAGTAAACTGTAGAAAACAAAACGTCAGTCTGAGATTGATGGTCTTTCCATCCATCCATGAACCTTGGTCTTCTGGGTAAAAGTCCAGTCTGTGGTTTGTACCTCCATCTTACTCTCCAACCTCCAGACTTGGATGTTGTGGTTCTTTGAAACTGGCCGCCTATCGTACGACGTAACAAACTGCATCGATTTGAAAACAAAATAAAGCTTCCTCAAAATGTACATGAGAATGCAGTTCAGTTATATAAGAACACAGTTTAGTGGGGACAGCTGCATAGTAGTAATAAATCAACAACTTATTTGTAAGACAATACCAAAGTTACTAAATCGTTGTTTTTGACCAACCAGACTCCTGCCTCCATCCACAGTGAGATCACAATCCTTGAATCAACACAGAACACGTCACTCACCTTTTCTCGACGCCTCAAAGCTGTCATAGATATTAATCCTCTGTATGTCGTATGTTAACGTTGTGTTTGGCAACAAAGTCCTGTTTCTGTTTATATTATTGACAGCAAATTTAAAGGCAAGCTCCTCGGCGCTAACAAGTGAAACAGGTCCGTCTGTTTGTTCGAAAATCCCACCTGAAAAACAAAAGAGAAAGAGCGGTAAGGGGGCCGTGACGATTGTTCTCAAACATAATCACAGGCAAACGGGAGAAAAAGGCAGACACAATATCAGGCAGGACTAAAAGGAACAAAATATTGAGAGGCATTTGCACTAAGGACTAGCAGTGAAGGGAGCAGCACACATTACGCGAGGTATTAAATTTGCTCAGCAAACATGGAGCAACCCTCACCATTTTCAGGGAATGGTGAAAAAAAAAACCCAATATCAGCTTTGAAGTCTAAGGCCATAATGGATTTAAGGACTGTGTGTGTGTGTGTGTGTGTTTGTGTGCCTGTGCTTGTCTGTCTGTTCCATCAGGGCAGCAGAGTATCTCAGCCTCTTGTCTCTCCATTAAGATATCCTTTTATTTCACCTGAATACCATATTGGTGGAGCAGATAACTGGAGTTTGGCACTCTTCTTTTACATAAAATTCAAAGGAAAGTTTTTTTTTCAGATGGCCTAGACTGCTGCTGAAAAACTTTTCAAAACATGTCTATATGAACATCAAAGTAAAGTATTGCTTTAGATGGTGCTGCACGTCAGTCCATCAATCCTGAACTCCACCCTGCAGTGCAGAGAAGAAGAACCATTACAATAAAACAATCAAAGAAAACTTTGAAATTGTTTGTAACGGGGGACGTGTTCTATATGTAGAGCCTGTAGGGAGCTTTCTATAGTCTGAGAAAATAACCCTGGTAGTGTTGTAGTGATGTCATTGGGGTTGTCTTGACTTGCTAGGGCAACGAAGGCCCGGTCCTGGTTGCCCCCCCCCATTGGCTCTACCACTTGGCTCCTGCGTATCTAGCGCTCCATCCAATCAGAGGTGTAGATGTCGACTACTACTAGTTGATCCTCAAAAGAAACCGGACACCATTACCTATGTAGTAACACAATGAATGGAAACACTAAAAATAGAGGATTTGGGATTTGCCTTAAATCACTCCCACATCCAGTCATTCACAGCTGCTAGTACCTAATGAAATGTGAT